AAGAGACATAAGATCCCTGGGTGGGGAAGATCCCCTGGAGGAGGGCACAGCAACCCCCTCCAGTATTCTTGCCTGGAGAATCCCAAGAACAGAGGAGCCTGGCAGGCTATAGTTCATAGGGTCACAAAGAGTTGGACACAGCTGAAGCGACTTAGCACATACATACCATAAACTGCATATATTTTAAGTGTATATAGTTCAGTGTGACTTGACGAATGTATGCTTAGTTGTTGTGTCCGACTCATATGACAAATGTATATACCTGTAGAACTTCCACTACCATGAAGATAGAGAACATTCCTATCATTCCCAAAACTTCCTGTGCCCCCCTCCCACTACCGGCCCAGGGAACCACTGATCCACTTTCTCAGTATAGTTTTGCCTTTTCCAGAATGTTATGTGAATAGAATCACAAAATATGTACACTTTTGTGCTTAGCTTCTGCTCAACATGTTTTTATCCATAATGTTGTGTGTACTGGTAGTCTGTTCATTTTATGGCTGTACAAAACTTCATTGTATGGACATACTGCAAATTGTTTATCCAAATTCCTGTTGATAGACTTGGCTTATTTTTATTTTTGTCTATTTATGACTAAATCTGTTATGAATTTATAATAAAGCCTTTTTATTAAAAAACAACAAACTTTGCTAAACTGGAATTGGGACAGGGCTGTAGGAGACGCTCTCATGACCATGATGCATCATCAGTCACACCAGACAGGAAGAGACCTCACCTACATCTCTGACAGGAAGGTGCCTCTACATTATGATCCATCAAGAGGAAGAAAACATCTTTCCACTCCATGATGGCCCAGCTAATCAGACTGTAGAAGACCAACCAATAAGAAGCCACTGTACTTTGGATTCCCAGCTTCTTCCAATGGACTCTTTGGTTATCACAGCCCCTCTCAACTCCCTCCTTTTCCCCATAAAAGCAAGTTCCTTTTCCTTGTGCTCTGCATTTGCCTATGGTGTGCTGTCATTCACTTATCCCAAATTGGAATTCCTCTGCTATCAGTAAATAAACTCACTTTGGCTGCTAAAATAGCTGGCTATTGCATTACTAAAGTTGACACACTTGGTGTCAGAAGTGGGATCCAAAGGAGGTGGACGCAAGAGATGATGGCTCCCAGAACTGAATGAGGTACCTGCAAAGTCCTTTATGCTCATTGGTTCTGTGGTCAGGACCTGCTTTCAGTCTGGAGTCTCATTTTGGGTTCCAAGCTCCACTCTTTTTGCACTTGGAGCTCCTGGACCTCATCTGGAATCTGGAAAAGTTTTGTTCTTTCTGGATCAAGGCTTCTTCATTAGTGAATATTAAGTTGTTTTCTGGAGCATGGTAGTGAGGTTCTTTTGAGGACCAAGCTAAGGGGGATCTAAGAGTTTGTTTTATTCCTTTTGGAATCTGGGCCAGGACTGCAGCAACTTTCTTAGAAATCTAGGCGAACTTAAGAAAATAAGACCCTGGCCATCTAAATGTCCTGAGGGCAGCCCTCCTTTGGGGACTCCAGTTGGTTTCATGTGAAAAACTACAGGCTCCCCACATGTGCATTTTTTAACAAAGTAGGCTGAAAAACCTACAGGTTACTCAGAATTACCATGGCCACTATCAGGAATTTCCAATCTTCCTAAATTCATCCTTAAGATCACATTGGAGGATTGTGATTTTAAAGTTAAAACAAATGGCATATTTATTTTTGTTAGTACTGATAAACTTTCAGATACACTCAATACTCTAAAATTGCTTCTCGGCAAGGTACTCTTTCTAAATTGGCAGACACAACCGAAAAACTAGATTAAAAAAAGAACAAAATGACTTCTGAAACCTCCTCCTATGTTCCCCGCCCTCTGGGTTCTGTCTGAGGGCCCTCTTCTGTATTTTCCTTGGCTCTTCTGTCTCAGGACTCCACCTTGTACTCCGGCCCCACCCCCGATGCCATCTGCCCTCTCTCCTCTGTGAAATCCAGCCCCTTTAACACTGAACTATCATCTGAGGATCCAAACGTCAAACCCCTCGTTACTGTTTCTAAGTTAACTGGAGCAAACACACAACAAGAAGGAAAGATTTAAATAGCAGTTGCCTTAGATTTTTGGTATTTCTGTCTGTTGAAGGGTTTTGGGAATTCATCCATCCTGTTCAAAAGGGGGAATCTTTGTTTTAAAAATTCACCTTATGGAGCACTCCTAAAAGAGAGGAGTCCAAATCTTTAGGGAGCCAATGTAATGCATTCTTTGATTGGTCTGCAGAAGCTTCTAAAAGGCAAACTGACTTCATAAAGAGCTCTAAAAGCATCCTTAACAGTATGCCAAAAACACAATTTGGATCTAACTATTCTTTTGAGTTTGATCTGAGACACGGCTGAAATTTAAAACAAACCTAGAAGGTCCCCGTTTCCTTCTGTCTGCGTTTTCATGTCTGTAAGGGTGTGTATATACATGTGTTACAGATGTGCTTTTTTCATTTCCTACCTGCTGGTGGTATTGCTAAAATTGATTTGCAGAAGAGCTCTATTTAATTGGCTTAAAAACAAGCAAGCAATGGGACTTCCCTGGTGGTCAATGGTTAAGACTTCAAGCTTTCACTGCGAGGGGTTGGGGTGGGGGGATGGGAGTTGATCCCTGGTCTGGGAACTAAGATCTCACATGTCACAAATCACAGCCAAACAAACCAAACCAAACCAAACCCAAAACAGCCCAAAGCATTTATACCAGTTGAAATATAACAGAGACTGGATCCAGAGCTTTTCAGGTTTACATGATCTGAGATTAATTCTAATGTATTAAAGCAAGTTTGGAGTTTTTAAGTAAAACAAGCATGTCTTTAGAGCTATCAACACTGAAATAATGCAGGCATACAACTTTTATTCTCCTTGAGTTTACTGGTCAGGTAAGTTCATGTTATCTTTGTTACAAAATTTGTTGGCAAGAAAAGTAACTTGGTATGATAAAAATTTTTGTGAGTGATCTAAACAAGTAACCTGGATGTGAATGAGATAGAGGTTAATAGGCAATGCTTTTAGGTAGCTTCCTCAAATCTTTTGGGGGGATGTTCTTATGTACTTTTTTTCCTACCTTTTTTTTTTTTGTTTTCAATCCCTATGAGAAAATAGAGAAGAATTTTCAGCAATGCTTTTCAAACTACAACTCGTAAATCAGTGAATCATGAGATTAATTGAATGGAGGCACAATCTGCTATCTGTTTAAAAGGAACGGACTAGAAAATTATGAGACAATATTGCACATAATAAAAATTGCATCATAGATTTTTTTTCAGTTACATATATATGTCCATATGCTGTTATAAACTGTAGCTTTCGCTGTTTTAGTGAAAAAAAAAAAAATTTAAGCTTTGACCCAGAGGACAGGATAGACTGAGGGATCCCCATTCCCATTTGGACTCAAGAATGCTGACACCAAGGATGAAGGGAAACTTGTTATACTGGGTTGGTCAAAAAGTTCCTTTGATTTTTAAGTAAAAATATGACACATTTTTCACTTTCACCAAGAACTTTATTGAGTAACATATTCACTGTTTTGTTCTATAACCTGCTGCCATTTTTCAGGCAACTTCATAATTCCACCTTTCCCAAACTTTTTATCTTTTTGAGCAAAGAACTGTTACAGGTGCCTTTTACTATAGGGCACTGAAATTTTTTTGCCATTAACAGAATTTTGAAAAGACCAAAATAAATGGAAATCCAAAGGTGCAATGTCTGGTGAACAATGCAGATGAATCAGAACTTCCCAGCCAAGCTGACCAGTTTTTTTTGCCTGGTCATCAAAGAAATACGGAGTTTTACATTACCCTGATGGAAGATTGTGGGCTTTCTGTTGACTAATTTTGGACACTTTTTGTTGATTCCTGCTTTCAGTGGGTCTAACTGGGAGCAGTACTTGGTGGAAATAATTGTTTGGTTTTACAGAAGGAGCTCATAATAGAGGACTCCTTTCCAATCCCACCATCTTCCAACATCACTTCACCGGCCTCTGGTGAGGTTGGTGGTGGTTCATTTTGCTTGCCCACGATCTCTTCTGTTTCACGTTATTGTACGGTGTCTACTTTTCATTCAGGGCTTCCCTGGTGGCTTAGAGGGTAGAGCATCCACCTGCAATGTGGGAGACCCAGATTCAATCCCTGAGTCGGGAAGGTCCCCTGGAGAAGGAAATGGCAACCCACTCTAGTACTCTTGCCTGGAAAATCCCATGGATGGAGGAGCTCATGGGGTCGCAAAGAGTCGGACACGACTGAATGACTTCACTTTTACTTTTCATTGTCCATCATAATTTATTTTAAAAATAGAAAGTTTTTGTTATGTTTCAGTAGAATCGCATGTGGAAATATGGTCAAGGTTTTTTCCACTTCACTTATGTAGAACCCAAATTTATCAAAGCAATTAACACAAACAAGCAGGTTAAAGTGATTTTCAATCTTCATTTGAATATTTTGAGCATGTCAGCTCTCAAGTGGTATAATGCTGACTGTTCTATTAATGTCTTGACTTGATCAGTATCAACTTCAACTGCTCTACCCAACTGTGGAGCATCACCCAGTGAGATCTCCAGCCTGAAACTTCACAAACCACCTTTGACATGTTTGATCACTCACACCACCTTCTCCATATACTGCACAAATCTTTTTTTGTGTTTCAGCTGTGTTTTTCCCTCTCTTGAAATAATAAAGCACAATATGCTGAAAATCTTGCCTTTTTCTTCCACCTTCAATATTAAAACAGCTATACAAAAATTTACCAATTTTGATAAATTTTTAATGCACACAAGTATGACAGGTGTAATAATATAACCTAACAAAATTGTTTCAAATGGAAAGTTAAAGACAACTGTTACTAGAACCATCATACAGAAAAAAAAATCAAAGGAACCTTTTGGCCAACTCATAGAATCTGATCACCAAAGCATGACAAGCATGACTGAATGGTGGACTGTCCCATCCTCTTTCCTGTGCCCCATCTTCCATCTAGGCTGCAGAGACGAGACATCCTAAAAACTCCATTTCCCTGACCCCACTGCAGCAGAGCACCAGATGGGAGTCAGCATCCACTCATCAGGTGCTATGGTAGATTCAAGATTGCTTGCACCCCTAACCCTAACTCTACTCCTCTCACTGAGAAAGTGAAAGTCACTTATTCGTGTCCGACTCTTTGCGACCCCATGGACTATACGCTCCATGGAATTCTCCAGAACAGAATACTGGAGTGGGTAGCCTTTCCCTTCCCCAGGGGATCTTCCTAACCCAGGGATGGAACCCAGGTCTCCCTCATTGCAGGCAGATTCTTCACCAGCTGAGCTCTCAGGGAAGACTCCCATGGAGCGGTGGAATCTAATTCCTCTCCCCTGGAATCTGACTGGCCTTGGCTATTTGTTCAGCCAGAAGAATGCAGCAGCAGTGACCTTCTCAAACTCTGACTGTAGCTCATAAGAGGCCTTGCAGCTTCCATCTAGGCCAACCTCTTGGAATGCTTGCTCTAGGGCATTTGCTATGTGAGAAATCTGACTGCCCTGGGACAGCCATGCTATCTGCAACCCAAACATTCTGAAGACCCTGGAGGATGAGAAGTATGTGGAAGTGCTCATTACAGGCGTGAAGAAGCTGTCCTGGAAAGAAATCTTTCAGCAGTAGCTGCTTCCAGCGCAGATCAGAACCACCCAACCAAACCCTCTCCTGACTCACAAAATTATGATCAAAATAAAACGGCTATTTAAGCCACCAAGTTTTGAGATACTTTGTTACATAACAATACATTAACAGAAAAGATTTTTCTTCTCAAAACTTGTGCTTGGAATTGTGTTAAACAGAGAGACAGTGGCATGCTTTGCTCTTAGGGTGTCTTGAAGTAGATCTCTGATAAACAGGGAACTTTATTTCAGGCCTCCACCCTCACAGGTGTCAGAGTAGGGCAAGTTCTAGGACGGGACACACAAATCAAGAGCCATCACGCTGAGAGGATCTAAAGGCTAACACTAAGGACCACAGGAGAGCCAGGAAGAGCTTGGGGTACGAAGTCAGAAATGAAGCAAGTCAGATAAACTCAGACAGCTAACATTTGCTGGACACTGACCATGTCAGGAATGCATTAGCACTCTGTGAATATGATTTCATTTGATAGCCCCCCCCCACTACTATCCCAGGTTACTCTGATTACTCACATTTCATAAATGAAGAAATCAAGGCACAAGGAAGTTAAGTAATTTCACAAAGTCCTACAACAGGTAAATGGCAGAGCCTGGATTCATCTGGCCCAAAGCTGGTACTCCTGCTAGCCACTCACCAGTATGGCTCCCAAGAGCCAGGGCCAGGTCACTCAAAGGAGGGCAAAAACCAGTTCTTGGAAGTTCTTGAAGAATGCAGTTTTCATCCGAGAGAGGGTTGGCAATCCTCCAGACAAGGAGCTAGGCGAAGTGACCCCAGCTGACAGGACAAAGGGTGAATCCCTGGTGATGGAGGTGAGTATGGGCCTGGTGGAGACGTCCAGTTGCAGCTGGAGAGGTGAGTGTCCATCGTGAAGCCAGAGCCAGTAGGGCACCCGGGACCGAGGCACACACCTGCCTCGTGCATCCCCGCGATCATCCACCAGGCTTAGGCCGCTATCAGCCCTGGACAGTCAGCCTCCCACGGTGGAGAACTGCAGACACAGGTTCAGCACCTCCTCTACCAACCTCATGTGATCCTAACCCAGTAGAGCTTGTTCGTGGCTCCATTTCTGACCGAAATCCCTCCTGTAGCCTCGCCCGCTTCTGGTGACTTCTCCCTCCTCCCGGCACTCAAACCATGGCTTCCCTCCAGGTTTTCTGGCTAAGCATGCAGTGCCCTGGCCCTGACTCCATGGTCTTCCTATGATTCAGGGCTCTGGCTCCCTGCCCAGGACCCCACCCTCCCTATGTTCTGCTCCTCCCAGCTAAGGCCCAGAGGAGAAAAGAATGGGAATGTTTACCTCAGAACTGCTAGCTTACGAAGACCCTGCACCCTTACCACTGACCCAACAACTTGGGCCTTCTGGTTCTGTGAGCCCAGCTACTGACCCAACCACACCTGCAGAACACTGAGGATACACAGTGACCCAGGAAGCTGCAAGCAGGGGGTCAGCCTGAGTAGCTGGTACTCCATCAGGGAACTGGCTCCTCACTGCAGAACACACCCAGTAGGTAAAAGCCCACAGCCCTGAAGTCTGTCTGTCCTACCCCGTCTCGAGGTGGCGGGTGTTCAAGCAAACAGGCTTGCTCAGCAGACCTGATGCCTAGAGTCCCAAGTCTTTAGCTAACACTTGCTTCCCAAGCTCCAGCACATGAGCTTTAGTTCAGTCCAGAGTCTACACCCATTTCTCCTCACTAGGAGCCCTTCCAGCGTTGTCTGACCTCTTCAGCTTCAGTCCCCTCATCTGTGACATAGGGAATAAAGCATGGTAAACACCTAGGGCAGTATCAGGAACACAGCTGATGAACAAACACAGGAGCCATTGATTCAAGAAAGAATCATCAACAGATGCTTAAGTTAATGAGTGAAAGTTTGATGAAGAACAAGATAGCTATATAATCTTAAAGATGTTGTTGTTGTTGTTTCATCAACTAAACCATGTCTAAATTTTTTACGACCCTGTGGACTGTAGCCCACCAGGCTCCTCTGTCCCTGGAATTCTCCAGGCAAGAATACTGGAGTGGGTTGCCATTTCCTTCTCCAGGGGATCTTTCTGATTCAGGGATCAAACTCGCATCTCCTGCATTGGCAGACAGATTCTTTACCACTGAGCCACTTAAGCCCAACTTTAAAGTATCTCTACACAAATTACTTATTAAAGGGAAAATAATCAAAGGACACTATCAAGAGAGTGAAAAAAACCCACAAATGAGAGTAAATATTCACAAAGCATACATATGACAAGGAGTTACTATTCAGAATAAAGAACTATACTTCTACAACAACAAATGCAATTCAAAGGACTCAAATAGACATATCTCCAAAGAAGAAATACAAGTGTTCAATAAGTCCATGAGAAGATACTCAACATCACTAATCATTGGGGAAATGCAAATCAAAACTATAATGAAATACCACTTAAAACCCATTAGGGGAGCTATCGTTAAAACAAAAGCAAAACAGAAAACTACGTATGTTGGCCAAGGATGTGGAGAAACTGGAATCCAAGTGCACAGCTGGTGGGAATATAAAATGGTGCTGCCACTGTGGAAAGATAGAAAAGTCATTGTGACAGCTCTTCATAAAGTTAGAAATTGAACTGCCATATAGATCCAGCAAATCTATTCCTACATTTATACCCAAAAGAACTGAAAGCAGAGATTCAGATACTTGTGCACCAATGTTCAGAGGCAGAAACAACTGAAGTGTCCATCAATAAATAAAATGGATCAACAAAATAGGATATACATACAATGGAATCTTATTACCTGCTACAACATGGATGTAGTAAACACTATGCTTGGTGGAATAAGGCAGACACTGAAAGACAAATATTTTATGATTCCACTTGCACTAAGTACTCAGAATAGGCAATTTCGTAAGAGACAGAAAGTAGAATAGAGGTCACCAAGGGCTGCAGAAAGAGGGGTAGTGGGGTGTATTGTTTAATGGTGAATTTTAGTCTGAGGTAATAAAAAATGTTCTCAAACTAAATGGTGGTGATGGCTGCACAACTGAATATACTGGGTTGTTAAATTTAAAATAATAAACTTTATATGTATATTTTACTATCATTTTTTAAACATAAAGGGTGCTCAGGTCTGAAGCAGTATGAAGTCCCTTTGAACTCTCTAAACTGACTGGTGAGGGCTTGCTTGACCGTGCCCCACACTGAGAAGACACATGTGGGATAAAGTTAAAACTGAGCAGAACAGGAAAAACAGACAAAGAAAGGTCTAAATCAGGGTCTTAAAGGACTCGGCAGTAACATTTGGGGCTTGTAGGCTATGGAGTTCACGGTGCAACTTCTCAATTTTGCAGGTTTGGCCTGAGAGTACCCATAAACATACATAGATGAACGAGCAGGGCTGTGTTCTAATCAAACCTTGTTTATGAAAACAGGAGGCTTCTGCCACTTTTATGGGTCTACATAAAAGTGCGGGAGGGGAAGAGGGTCGGCAAGGCATCACAAGGGAGCCCTGTGAGGTTAGGAAAACCATCCTGAACCACACAACTCCTTCTAAAAGTTCCAGGAAACTAATTTCATATAAAAATAAACAGCAGAAAATTACTAAGGTCAAATCTCATTCAAAGTTATTATTTAAAAAAAAAAGAAAAAAAAAGAGAAGTATAACATTTCTGTAAGATGAGACCACACCAGAAATATATGCATATAAAATAGCTCTAATTACAATTAACTATCTTAAAACCAGTGCTCGCTTCGGCAGCGCATATACTAAAGTATCTTAAAACCAGCTAAACATTAATAAGAAAATGATACATGACATGAAAGAACCACGGTAAATGAAATTAGAAAAACTCATAAGAGTTATACTTTACTCAAACACTTAGAAGTAAAAGGGGAAAAGATTAAGACTAAATTAGAAGAAACACAAGACCAAATAAATGCAATTTTAAAATGCCTTTAGCAAAACAGGAGGAAAATTTTTAAAGAAATCACAGAAGACAGTAAAATGACTTGAATGAAAATGACAATATGACAGATTAGCAAAGAAGAATTGATACAGAATATAGAAGCTTCTGAAGCAGAGAACTGAAGCAAGTGAACAAGATACAAAAAATCAAGAAAATATATATTAAAAAATCAAGGTATACATATCCTGGTATAAAATCAAGAAAATTTGTAAAAACTCCCAGGAATGTTCTCAAATTGAGGAAAAAATATCTAAAACTATATATACACCATGTATCCATGTATCTAAGAAAACTTAAACAACCAATACCAAGACACATTCTAGTAAATTGACCAGATTTTCAGGAGAGAAAAAATCCTTTATGCATCTGTGGGGGGGGGGGGGGCGAAAAAAAGGCAAGTGGCTTACGTGAGAAACAAAAGAAGGATATTGTCAGGCTTTTTAACACCAATGCTTGATGCCAGAAGAAAATAATAGAGTAATTGAGTATCTTAAATCCAAGGGGAATAAAATGTGACTCAAAAGACTTTGTATCCAGCAAAACTGACGTTCATATATAAAAAGCACATGCTATTATCAACATGCAAGAGCTCAGGGAGGGCCTTCTGGAAAATGGCAGATATGAGCCCAAATCTTGAGTTAGAATCTGGGTACTGGAAGAAGGGGTACAGTATAAGCAGATGGCATAATATAAACAAAAGCATAGAGATGGGGAAACAAAGAGTATTTTCAAGGATTGTTCTTTCTTTCACTAACTTACTCATCCTTCAAGTCTAAACATTACTTTCTCAGAGAACCTTTCCTGACCCTACCCGACTAGGTCAGGTTCTCTGTAACATGCTCTCTTAGCTCATCCTTGTTTCTAATTTGAACCACTGTTATAACAAAATAATGAACTGTGAAACTGGTCATTTACCATCTCCTCCTTTAGAACATAAAAGCTTTCTGAAGGCAGGGACTCAGGATGACAGAGTCACATCATAACCCCACTGCCCAGCCCAAAGCCTTGCATCACAGTCACTCAATGTGCTGAGTTAATGAATGGGTGGATCCACTTAGCTGGAACGGAGGGTTGTACATGAGACTACAAAAATTGGAAATTTTATTGGGAACCAAATTGTGAATGACCTAGAAAGCTATGGTTAAACACCTGGATTTTTCTCCTTCTTGCTTTTTAAATTTAAAAACAGTGACGATTTAGCAAAGGATATACTGGGGATTAATTCTCTCATCCCTCACTAGGGTAGAAGCCTTGAGAGCTGGTGTGCTCACACAGTGACTGGGAGAACACCACCCATGATTTTATAAACAAGCCCTGAATAAATGCCAAGTTCTCTGAGGTGGGAGTGGGTACCATTTAAGCAAAAAGAGGCAAGGCAGTTACTGGGTTGGCCAAAAAGTTCGTTCCATAATGTCTTATGGAAAAACCTGAATGAACTTTTAGGCCAAGCCAATATTTGGCTAAACCTCTAACGGTGAGTCAGCTTCATCTTTCAAGGGCTGTAGTACTTTCTTAAAAGATCAACTTCCCTCAGTGCTGTGTCTCCCAGAGTGACTACATTGGGTGTCAGTCTCTACGTTTGGGGACATAATTTAATTATGGACTATACCTTTAATAACTTTCAGAGGCCAAGGACAACAGGCAAATAAGCACAAATTTTTTTTCTTTTTAAAGAATAAAACAGCCACCCAATCAAAAACTGAAGCCGTACGGAAGGATATAAAGTGAAAAGCAAGTCGCACAGACTCCCAGCTCTCCTTCCCAGATGATCCTGGTTAAGTTCCTTGTGTAAATTTTTATTTCTAAAATGTGGATTATTAATGCAACAGGAATATTACACAGTCCATATTTCTTATGAAGGTTCAATCTTCTAGATCCTGTTTGACTTAATCAGAGGCAAAATTCAGGTCCCAAATAAAGAAACTGAAAATTTTACTGAAATTCAACACAAAATTTAGATCTAAACAGATTCAACTTAGGCAAAAAACCCAAAATTAATAAGTATATATTAGTTTTTAAGTCAGATTTCATTTTATCTCTTACTACCCATGGTAAAATAAACTCTTCTTAGATTTTTTAAAATAGTGTAAGTTGGTAGTCACCTGGAAACCATTTACTAACTAATTAAACCCTAAATCCATGAAGAAAAAGTACCAAATGCACTCAAGGTCAAAATGAAACAACAGCTCCTGGTAAAATTCCTGATACTCAAGAGAGATTTAAAAATAAATGTCCTGTTAATTTCAATGTTGCCTGTAAGTAGATCTCAACTGATCCTTAGATGATAAGGTTAAGGTAAACATTTAACTGCCTACTGTGGGGGCTGAAATAACCTGGGAATTGTAAGAGGTGGGAAGTAATCCAATTAACAGAAGCATTGAAAATATGTGATCTTACAATAAAATGAGTATGAATTTGAAAAATGTCTATGGGCATTTTCTTCTCGAAATAGAGAGTAGAGTGAATACGGGGAATTAATTTTTAACAATACTTCTAAGATCTAAGGCAACCATACATCTGGGGCTACTAAACTCTCCAAAGCTTGAATATTAAGAAGTTCCTTGCATGGTAATTATTCTAATATTTTAAATTAAAAAACTGACACAATAGTCAACAAATTCAAATTCTTATTAATCAGCCTCTAGTTCTTCATACTCCAGCCACACAAAGAGCTACGAAATTGTGCCCTCTTTATTTAGGGTTTCTTTTTTTTTGGGGGGGGGTGCCACAGCTTGCAGCACATGGGATCTTAGTCCTTACTACAGATGAAACCCACACCCCCTGCAATGAAAGCACTGAATCTTAACCCCTAGACCACCAGAGAACTGCCCTTTTTAAAAGATGCAAACCATTTGCCCCCTGTGCAAATGAAGCTCACCTGGTTGCAACAGGCTGCACCTGTCACAAGGCAGAAGGTGTTCAGAAGGTCATAAGGCAGAACACACTGAAGGCGTTCAGAAAGGCAGGTGACACGGCCATTCAGTCTGCCGCTGCTAAGGCATTTCAGCCGTGTCCGACTCTGTGCGACCCCACAGACGGCAGCCCACCAGGCTCCTCTGTCCCTGGGATTCTCCAGGCAAGAACACTGGAGTGCCTCTTTCCAACTGCAGTGAGCTGGTGTCCTAACATTGAAGACTAACTAGTGAAACCGCTAAACAAAGGCCATGCCAGTAGAAGAGAGGGGCCTTTAGACCTGATGAAGAGTTGTCCAGGCCGTTCTTTTATTTAGTTATTTTTAAAATATTTATTTGGACTCGGGATCTTCAATCTTCACTGTAGCATGCAGGAATCTTTTTTTTTTTCTTCTGAGTTGCAGCATGTGGGATCTAGTTCCCTGACCAGGGATGGAACCTGGGTCCCATACATTGGGAGTGTGGAATCTTAAGCCACTGGACCACCAAGTTCCTAGGCCAATCTTTTCCTGTGTCTATTGTTATTAAGGAAAAGATTCCTCTAAGGTGAGCCAAGCTCAGTGGCTCATTTTAACTTAGAGCAACTATTTGCTGCTTCATGAGTTGTCAGCCATCTAACAGGATTCTCCTAAGTCAGCTCTCATTCCAGCAGTGCTCTGCATCCCTGCTTGGGAAGCTCCGTGGGAAGCAGATGAAATTAATTAGGATACAGCCCATTAAAGCCAAGGCAAGTATTTTACCAGCTGTGTACAGAGACCTTCCCACAACCATGGCAAAGGCCACAGAAGAAATATTTTTACCACTGAGAGTTCCACAGTCACTGTCCTTTTTGACTCACTCCTCCTCTCTTCAGCTCTCTTCCCTGACCATCTCAGCCAGTCCACCATGTTTGTTCTCCCAGAGGCACAAGGATTTCTTTTAAGATTATTTTTGTGGTTTACCCAACTAACCAGGAAATGAGGCCTGTTGGGACAGAAGGTAAAATCAAATAAACAATCCTCTGAATGTCTGGAAAACGGCTGCTGGGCCTTCAACTTCAGGAGACACTCAGGCCAGCTGTGCTCTTCTACGCGGGGTCCTCCTCATCCATCGCCACGTCGTCACTGGTATTCTGCTGCTGCTCGGCCTCTGGCCCCGCGGGGAGGATGCTTGTGACGGTGTGGAGCAGAGCTTCGATCTGCTCCTCTGTCAGCCGTTCCTCACTCTCCTCCACCATCTGCAGAAGGAAAGAAAACCCTCCAGGATTACAAAGAGCCTCACAGACTGGGCCCACCCCCAACCTCCCCTCCCCATGTTGTTCCTGGTCTCGGCCCAGCCCCTCAGCACAGAACTCAGGGGCTGGCTCCTGAGCCGCCCTGGGTCTCCAGGCCCTTTCCACCTTAATTCCCCAGGAGGGAGAAGCCTGCTCAAATGCCAGGGTAAGCCGATGTGGCTGCTCCACACGAGTCAGTGAAAAAAGCAAGTTGCAGGTTAGCATCTTTTCTTAAAGAAAAAGCAAACCTTAACAGTTCTCTACCCATCCACATACACACAAAATACGCTACATATACAAAGAAAACTCACCTGAATAAAATGGCATTTTATATACACTTTGGGGTATCACAACCAGCACATCTGTTAACTTATGTACTCTATCAGCAGCTCAGTTGATGACTGCCCACTATGTGCCAAATGGTTTGTTTACTTTTTCTAATCCTTACTACTATCCCCACTGACAACAGCTCCTGGGCCTGGCACTGCGTCTTGCACTTCACACCCATTTTCTCTTTTAAACCTCATGACAAGCTCAGCAAAGGGCAGATCTAGAATCCCAAGCCAGACCTGTCCATCTCTGACTCCTACAATCTAACACATACCCTGGGCCATGGTCATCTCCTGGGGACGCAGAACAGGAGCCTGAGGAGTGACGGCTGGGAAACAATCTCTCACTGCCCCATCAAAGAGCCACGTATAGCCCAGTTTCTGACATGGTCCTGGACATCTGAATGCACAGATGAGATCCACACTTTCAAGCCTAACTCTAATCCTCCATGTTAATAAACACAAATCATCTTGTAAAAGCATCATGCAAGCAGTCCAGTTACTTAACCATGCTCATTTGCAGGCATTAGCCATCTGTCAAAACAGCTTTTTCAACTAAAGGTGTCCAGGGTCCTGTCCTATGGCATTTCTCAGTAACAGTCTCTGAAATCTGGCAACTAAGACCAAAAGGAGTTCCAGAAAGAAATCCTGGCAGATTTAAGTATAGCATGATGACAAGCTAGGCTTACAATCCTCAAAAGGACTTCAGTCTGACTGCCTAGCTGCACAAACAACAGTGCAGAAGCTAAAGAAGCCAGGTGACATGCCCAAGATCAAAGTTCTGGCAAACCACTACCCTCTTCATTCACCTCAGTCCAAAAATGTTTCCACAACTAGAGAGTAACACTGGGTGTTCTAGAATAAAGATTCAGAGTAAGAAAAAAAAAAAAAGATCCAGAGTGAACCAATGGAGCTACTTACCATTACGCTGTGAAGTAAAACAACTACACTTTATAAACATTCAAAGGCTCCATGTAACTTTTCAACTGGAAAAGAAAAAATCCTCAAAAGCCCACTTTTAAAATCAGCCATGTAAAATTACAGTCTGTAAAAGGAAATATTCTAACATGCACTGCCTCCAAAAAATGAAGGGGGAGGAAGGAGACATATACCTGATTTGATAATTTAATCTTGAGGGGAAAAGGCTCTCCATTCGGGAGAACAATGTCTCCCAGCTTATGAATAACTGGCACACATAGTTGCTGATGAACTGTTTCCTGCCTCAGGTGAAGAATGTGAGACTGTTGTGAGACCAGGACAACCTCCCATCATTATCAGCGTTCCTTCTCACAATCACTGCACCAGAACTTTTCAAGGCCACTGAACGTAAAGCAAGGACAACCAACAGACGAGTACAAGGAGGCTCAGCACCACACGGAAACGGATCTGATCTCATGCAAGCCGGGCAGGGCCTCTTGAGACTTCAAATCCCAGCTCCTTCTAGAACTCCATGGCCTCCAGTAGGACGTTTCTATCAACTCCTCTCCTGGAGATACTGGATGGCACACCAGAGTCCACTGGTTTGAAACGGTTTGGTTATATGAGTTCTGAGGGGTCTTTTTAGAAAACCAAACAGGGAGGATTTCCACAGGCCACCTTCCTGCATCAGTCTCTGGGTCTGACAGATCTGGTTTCAGCTAGGTGTGTTCTTGGCAATAGGGCTGGCAAGCTTTACTAACTTTTGGCCAAATTTGCCAAGAGCAAATGCTTTTATTAGCAAACAACCCTCAGGAACAATTATAGTCAGGAAATTTTCTTTCCTAGTCACAGAAGAAAATATGAGCTGTATTAAGCAAAATGAAATATACACAAAAAAGAAACTTGCAGAAACAAAAAACTTACTAACCCTCCTTGGATTGCTTGAGTGAAAAATAATAACACTACTCTTCAAATTTTCTCTCCAACACAGAAGTAACAGAGTTCAAATAAAGAAATGCAAAGCGGTGTCTACATTCCAAAACAGCAAAGGGTTCAAGTTGTTCAGAACATAAGGGCAAATGAAACGTAAAAAAAAAGTATTTGAGGGGAGTCAACATAAACGATAAATTTTTTATCATATGTGAAGATTATATTAGTTACCAAGGGCTGTCAGACTGGGCTGCTGCACTCCAAAAATGTTTCTCACTCTAAGTTGCCAAGCCTAACCTCCTACTCTGCTCAAAACAACTAAAAATCTAATAACAACAGGCACTTCTAGCTATTTGACCCAGAACAGTTTACTTTACCTCTATAAATTTCAATTTTCTCTAAAGTAAAATTAAAGTAATGCCTCTAATAAGGACCAAAAAAGACATACATTTCAGTGTTTCATAAAGCAGGAAACTATATGATTCAAGCCTTTTTTTTTCCCAAGCCTTTTTATAATCATTAAACTACAACAGGCACTGATGGTAGCGCTGATTAGGGCCGTGGTCTGTGAGGTCCGGGAGTTCACAGTTCTGCGTCAGGCCAGAGGTCACAAATGGTCCCAAATGAAGACACAAAAGGGCATGGCAGAAGTCTCAGAGCTGGTGGCCTCCCCATTTCCTCACACACAGCAGGCAGTCAGCTGTGGATCTGAGGATCACAACAAACCATGGCTGAAGGATTAACCAGGGTAATTGAAAAAGAGAAGCTTTTCGGCCTCCAACACTAAATCCTGACAGATGCTGGATGTTGGGATTACTTCTGGACCTAAGGAGAACACACGGCTGTAAAGCTAACATGGAGAAATTCTCAAGTTCTCTGCACCTTCCCATCCAGGGAAAACCTCATTTCTTATCCCTTTCTGGTGAGAAGAGACATTGCTACACACCTTGATAAATGATTTACTACCCTTTATGGCCAGATCCCTGGCTGGGAAAAATCTGGCCAAAAAATGCTGGGAAACAACACAGACAGCTTTTAACAAGGTCTATCTACCTGTGGAAAGAAGAGGATGAACATAGTCTGAAGAGACGTCAGAGACCTTTCTCCTCGCCACGCAGCAGCACAGGGCTTAGAGGAAGAAGAGGGCTTCTGAGTCAGACCACTGGGGCACTCACTGCCGAGACCACGGTGAGGGCATTAAAGGTGACACACACACAGCTTCTGGCACTGAGTCTGGCATAGAGCAGGCCAACCTAATAGCAGCTAATCCTACCAAGTACTAAGAGCCTTCTGCAGGCTCCAGGATGAGGTCACGCTAATCCTCCTCATCTCTTCTCTCCATCTGTCATTAAGCCATGAATAACATATGTTGCTGATTAAAGTTGGAGGAGACATGACATGTGATCTTTAACCCAGAGGGATGGGGATTATTTTCTTGCTATTTTGTATTTTTCTCTTTTCTAAACTGAATTTCCAATATAGTCAAAAGCATCAGAATAATTGAGGGTATTAAAAAAAAAAGTATATTTAGCCTGAAGACCAGTTCCCCCTAAAAGGCACCCTTTATGGAAGGAATTCTTCTAATTTAATTTTGGGTGCATTTTAAAGGGTAGAAACAAAATGTTGAGAGGACAATTAAACTTTTAGTCAAAAAGTAACTATCCCAGGACTCTCTTAAAAAGGGTTTGGTTTTGTTCTTTTTAAGCGACTCTTAAATATCAGAGGTATTTTCTACCATTTTCTTCCATATTTTTCTAAAGGAAATTTGACAAAGAGCTAAATACTTATAAAAGTGACTTTGAAAACTGCTTTATTTTCATTTTATTAATTCTCCAACCAAAGTTTTTCATTTGCAATTGAAGGGCCTGCCTAATATTTAAGAGCTTACCAGTGGCCTCCGCCCGGGACACGGAAGAAAAGAGCACCACACGGCAGGACGGCAACCGCTCAGCCTGCAGCCCTGGGCCTCCACCTCACATCCTCCTCCCATCACCTTTGCCATCTGCCCTGGCCTGTGTGTGAGCGTGCTCACTCACTCAGCGGGGTCTGATTCTCTGTGACCCCATGGACTATAGCCTGCCAGGCCCCTCTGTCCATGGGATTTTTCAGGCAAGAATACTGGGGTGGGTTGCCACTTCCTCCTCCAGGGGATCCTCCTGACTCGGGGATCAAACCCACATCTCCTGTGTCTCCTGCACTGGCAGGCGGCTTCTTTACCACTGAGCCACCTGGGAAGCCCTACTCTGGCTCCCCCCATCCTGAAACTTAATGCTGTGCTTGTGGTTTAGACTCTCTAAGTATTGAATGGTTACATGCAAAGGGGAACTAGATGATCACATGTGTGGTTTTAGAAAGCAAACTATGATTGTGGTATGGAAGACGGGTGGGCAGGGGCTGGACTGGAGGGAGGAAAACAGTGAGAAGATGACTGTAAGAGCTGAGCAGAGAAATAACGACAGGAATTACTGCAGTGCAGCACGGGGAGAAGAAAAAGCAAGAGGCGGGAGAAGGAAGAGAAGCCAGGACTGACAGACTAGGAGCTAAAGGGAAACAAATGACTTCCGGGGTCTAGCTTGGGACACTGGGCCAGGAGGGTGAGAGCGTGAGCCTGCGGGAAAGTGCACACGTGCTCCATTCATCCAGAGAAGAAATATAGGAAGAGGAGGTCAAAAGGTGTGGGGGGCGGGGGCGGCGAAGGGGGAGGATAAACTCCACCAGAGCCATGCTGAATCTAACCCTACAGAGAAGCAATGGCCAGAACGGTGGAGGACATGGGGGAGACAAAGAGCTGCCAAGTCAGATCCCCAAGTCCTACAGAAGGACGACATTTCTCCAATTCTTCCTTTTCCCTAAGTCCATAGTAACTAGGATCAAACTGTTGAGGTTTCCTTTCACTTATAACATGGATGGTCTAGCAGTCTTTTTAAGTAATGACCGTTTCTGGCTTGTCTGAGGTCAGCCTTTAGAACCCACTTTACATCTCAAACCCAGAAACTAACCCACCCAAGTTCAACCCTCGTTTACTCACCAGCTGGATCTCAACAGCAGTCACAGGCCTGTGATTCAGCAGCTGAAGTTTTTCAGCTCTGTCAAAAGAGAAGTACAGAGCCTTCAAAACTCTTATACTCCTAAGGATTTTGAGTCTTCACCACGCAGTTTAGAGAACACTTTGTCAGATAACACATGGAAGAACAACTTGGAACATGGCCCTCAGTTTCTTCAACTGTGAAATGAAAGAATGAGAGTAGGAGAGTCCTGGATCAGTGACTCTTACTAAAGAGCACAAACATGGATTAGAATCCTAAAGGGTCCAGAGGCTTGGGTTATAAGAAATGTAACAGAAAGTACCGCTGCAGTTTTAATAAATTGTATTTGGGAAATCTTAATTCAAATTATAGTAAAGATTGACAAAAATCATCTTGGTTGTTCATCACTTACAAACAGTTGAAAATTCCTTTTTGAGGTTAAGACTAAATGTTACTCAGACTTGACCTGTTATCTTAGTAAACAAAACCAAAGACTCTAAGGAGGCAGCAGGTAATACATGGTAGTATAAGACAAAGTTTTCTGCCCTCAGAGAGCTTATAATCCAGTTGGGAAAAGAGGACAAATAAAAGCAAATTTTACAAATAAAAGCAAATTTTAACAAAAGATTCACAATGAAGACACCAGTTATCTGCCCCAAGACAAAATATAGCTCATTGCTGCAGGGGTGCTTGAAATGCATGTACTCTCAAAGATGACAGAATTTGTGAGAGGTAGGCTCAAGAGGGAGGGGACACATGTGTACCTACGGCTGGTCCATACTGATGTATTGCAGAAACCAACACAACATTGCAATTACCTGTTAACTAAAAATAAATATTTTTTTTTTTAAAAAGCTAGGACTTGGAAAAAAGTGGCTTCAATGATTGCCACCCCTGTGCAGGTGACAATTTCCACATTTCTCTCTCTGACCCTGGAGCTCTACAGCTTCCTCTTTTGAATTCAATTCAATAAACATATTCTGGAATAAAGTGATGAATAAGCCACAACTTCCAGAGTCAGGTGTCTGGGGAAGCAGTAGTTACCCAGCTCTCCCTAAGCCTTGGTTTCATCACCTGTCAAACAGGAATGGCTACAGTACTTACCTGTCTCATGAGGAGGTTACAAGAGACAAAAATTTTACCATTTAGAGTGAGAGTGGCAACCACTTATTGCTTACTTTCCATATGGCAAGCACATTTAACCCTCAGACTTGACGCTGAGACGGTAAAGAAATAATTTGTCCATGGCTACACAGCTAGTAAATGGCAGAGCTGAGATTGCTATCCTAGCTTATGTCCTGAACCATCTGCTTCCAAAAGCATTCAGTGTTCATAAAGACGACTCACACAGTCATTTCCCCATAAACGGCGGCAGGATTAAGGCAATGCTGTCAAGTTCTACCCCTCACAAGCCCCCAGACATGCACTCGAGCCTTGAAGGAGGGCATGGCAGCCCACTCCAGTATTCTCGTCCAGAGAATCCCACGGACAGAGGATCCTGGCGGGCTACAGTCCCTAGGATCGCAAGAGTTGGACATGACAATGCTCTTTCTTTCTTTTTCAGAGAGAAGGCTCTTGTACTGGGTTCTTAAGGATTTTCTAGGCAAAAAGGATGAGAGGAATGGGCAGTCAGGGCAGGAACAGCACATGCAAGCATCCAGAAGAACAAACATTCATGGAGTTTTAGGAAATGGCTTTAAGAGAGGCTGTGGGACTCAGGCTGAAAGAGTCAACTGGGACAAGACCACAAGGGGCCTGCACTACCAAGACACTCCTCCAGAGACACTGCAGAGCAACCAAGAAAAGGAGGGGACTTGCTGCGTCTGGAAAGCCTGGGAAAATGGAGGCAGAGACACTGTACAAAACTCCCGGATGAGAGAAAACAAAGCTGTGTACTTACGTGGTGGCGGCAGCAACAGCAGGGATGGCAATGAGAGTCTTGAGCTGCCCCTGGTCACCCTCAGGTACAGTCAACAGGCCCTGACGACCGCCTAGGCTGGGGGTGTGGGGGGTGAAAGGAAGGGGAGAGCTAAGGTTTCCTGTCAGGTGTTTAGCCTGTCTGGAAATACTGTATTAACTGAAATCTGAATTAAGAGTTTGTGGTACTTTTGGAGCCACAATGAAGAACTCACCCAACAGTTTCTCTAGTCTTAGTTCTAGTTTGGTCTAGAACTGGAGAAAAAGATCAGAGCTGGCTTTATTATGAAGGAGTTATGTGAAACCAGGAGAGTGGATATCACAGTCCAGAGGCCAGCTGCAGAGGAAGTGAAGTCCCATGGCAGAAACTGTAAGGCACCTCTACTCCCGGGGCTGGGAGAGAAGGCCGCACAGGAGAAAGGAAAAGTTCAGGACAGAGGCTATCATCAACAGTGTCAAATGCGGAAGAGAAGAAAGTAGGGTGATGGTAGAGAAGTCAATTGATTTGCCAAAACGGAGGGCACTGGTGGCCTGGTCAGGTAGCTCAGTAGAACGATAGTTAAGGTGACAACTGTACTGTGAGGACTGGGGAGTAACTGTGGAAGAAATTCCTTTTTCTTTGTAAAGCAATTCCATCACTTTATTCAAATCTTCCAAATAGTCTTTGATCTACACTTTTAGTAATAAAAACCCCACAAGACAGATGCACCACAGTACAGCTACAGACATACAACACAAGTTCCCCAACAGTCAAATATAGCATGTAGAGAGCACAAAATTTAGGTGAACTGAAATTATAAGATAAAGCAAAATCCAATTTTGGAAAACAAAAATTAAAAGATTAAGAATCCCAAAATATTCTTAGCCCTAATGAGCTTTCACTGGACTCAAGTCATTTTGGAGGGAGATATTCACAATATGACCCCATTAACCCAGCTTAGGAATTCTTGGGAGCCATGAGTGGCCACACCAGGCACTCTGACAATAAATGGTAACCAGTTTCTGATTTGAAAACTCTAAAAATTTCGCTCTAAATTAATTTTGCTCTAAAGTCACCAGGCTTTTGAAAGGAATCCTCCTTGTTGTCCTCATATTTTAAACTGTTTTCAGTATGGTTTATGTTGATATGCTTTGATACCAGACAAAGCTCAGTTTTTCTGGCACCAAAGCAAAACTGGGTTTGGTTCATGGATATGGAGACAGTCTCTTGAAGAGGGTCCAAAGGCACTCTCCACTTCTGTCTAAGGAGATCCAAAGTAGAAGTAGTGGAGTTGGTGCTCAGGGCACAGAGCGGGTCTCAGAGGATCCTTGTGAAAGACTAGGTAAAAGATGACAAAGGAGCTTCCCTGGCCCTCCAGTGGTTAAAAGTCAGCTCAATGAGGGGTACAAAGGTTCGAGCCCTGGTCTAGAAAGATTCCACACGACGCAGGGCAACTAAGCCCGTGCTCTGCGAAATGAGAAGCCCAAGCACCTAGAGAGGAGCCCCCACTCACCACAACTAGAGACAGCCCGTGTGCAGCAACGAAGACCCAGTGCAGCTAGAAATAAATAAATTTTAAGAAAGACAAGCGGGAGAAGAGCAAGCAGAAAAGGAAATGGGTCTGCTTTCTGCCCTGCACCACAGAATCAATGGAGACCGCTGGGAGGGAACAATAGACTAGGGTTAAGGGTGGGATTAGGGCAAAGGGTGGAAAGGAAAGGGCAGACAACCAATGTGTTTCATTCATAACAAGCAATATAAATAAATATTAATCAAAGACTTAGAGGAGATTAATCAGAATAATCTGGCAACTTTAATTAGAAGATCGAAGTCCTCTGCAAACCTAATGTCATGTGTTATCACTAAAAGCAAAGACCAGTATGGTACAGTATTACTCCACAGGAACTAAAGGAAGATCCCGAGGGCTGCATCAGCCACATTCATTTTATTAACAGGTACCTCCTTCACATCAACCTTTAGGCAGGTACTGCCACCACAACATACACGCCCCCTTATTAAGTTTGAAAAGTGACAATGTTCGCGCACCAGAAAGATACCCCAACAACACGTGTCTAAACCGCAACTGCAGGTTAACGTGACTAAAGAAGTTATATTATTGTTGTACCCGGATCGCGGAATCCCACCAAACACCACAGGAGCCGCAGATCGATGCAAAAGCAGTGAGGAACTTTATTACAAGCTCGAGCAGGGACTCCCTCCTCCCAACCTAATGGCCACGCGGAGAGAGCCCCGAGTGATGGCGGCGATCTATTTTTATACCGTATAGTGGGGAAAGCGGGAAGCTTAAGGGGATGGGTTAGTTCTTCAACTAAGGATGTCTTGTTAGCTACTGATTGGTGGGTTAGAGTAAGGGGGTGAGGGACTTCCTGTCCTTTCCTGATTGGCTCGTTTAAATTTCTTTGTCTTTTCTCCTTCTTCGGGGGAATTCAGCTCAAAATGGGGGTATTGTCTTAAAATGGAGTCGTTTGAATTTTACCTTTCACATTTCACAATTGTAAGAAGCTATGTGATGTCTTTGCTGGCACAGAGGTGGCCTTGGTTCCTCACCAGATGGTGGAACCACCCTCTGAGCCGCCCACGGAGAACCTTCCCTTCTGCTGAATTACAAGGACCCAGGCTCCCTTCAGGAGTGCAAGCTGAGCAGCCCGGGCGGCCTCTCTGGCAGTGGAGGAGGAACGCTGCCAGCAGTAGCCTCGGTACCGAATCTGGCACCTGAATGATACGCTCCTCTCACCGGCACGAAGCCACGGGGACTGTGGAACCTAAAGGGCCAGCAGTCACAGACTAGGCCACAGGCAGATACCACGAGGTGCCAGGAAAAGCAGCGGCCGCAGCGGGGGCTGGGGCAGCCCCTGGTGTATAAAGGTCAGACGACAGACCTCGCAGCAGGCAGGTCAGGCAATCAGACCAACCAAGCAAGTTCTCTGCTCTGCACCCCAGGAGCTGAGCCCAGCTGAATTCAAGTCACAGGACCACATGAACTGCAGGCACCATTTTTGGGGATGGGGGTTCCAAACATTCCCCCAACTTCAGAGGCTCATTTTTATCGTCTCTACTTTCTCTCCTTCATTTAATTCACTGCACTTCAGCCCCTGCCCCAAATGATCACCAAAACTGCTCTCATTTGAGGGCCCAGAAAGCG